ACGGTTGCTTCGAAAAATGGTGGGGGAGTGAACCGTCGAGAAACCGGTCCGTAAAATTTTATCCCCGTTTGGTTCATTTAGCATCATGGGATGGCTGAAGGAGGAGCGGGCGTTTTCTGTCGAGCCAATCCTCGCCGCGCAACATTCATCCCGTGCCTATTTCAATATTGCGCACCGTGGTCGTGTTATTGGTTGGCAACCGATTGTTTCGTGAGTAACCAATTTCAGAGAAACCAATGATGTGAAGAAGAGGAAACCTGGGCTTCCTCAAGCAGCAAGGTCACAACAAAATATACACATGCGTAAGACTTTCTGTTTTGCGATCTCCTAAGCGCTCTGCTCGGAAACATCCTGCTGCTGTTAGGTTGTCCGCTCGATATGTGAGGCGTATTCTTCATGAAGAACTGAAATTTCATCCCTAGAAATTGGCTCTAGTGCAAGAACTTAATCCACGTGATTTTATTGCTAGAGAAAATTCATGCTAGACGTTTCTTGCAATGCCTGACGACGCACTTGTTTTCTTTAGTGATAAGGCACACTCCATCTTTAGGAATCGGTAAATAATTAATTAATCTCTAGGTTTCTCTGCCCCGCGTGACCTCGAAACTCCGCACTACAGATCCAACTCCCCTTCAGGACCAGGCGCAGAGGTCCATCCTCCGCTCTGGCCCCTCAGAGCACTACAGATCCAACTCTCCCTGAGGACTAGGCGCAGAGGTCCAACCTCCGCTCTGGCCCCTCAGAGCACTACAGATCCAACTCTCCCTGAGGACCAGGCGCGGAGGTCCAACCTCCGCTCTGGCCCCTCAGAGCACTACAGATCCAACTCTCCCTGAGGACCAGGCGCAGAGGTCCAACCTCCACTCTGGCCCCTCAGAGCACTACAGATCCAACTCTCCCTGAGGACCAGGCGCGGAGATCCAACCTCCGCTCTGGCCCCTCAGAGCACTACAGATCCAACTCTCCGTGAGGATCAGGCGCGGAGGTCCAACCTCCGCTCTGGCCCCTCAGAGCACTACAGATCCAACTCTCCCTGAGGACCAGGCGCAGAGGTCCAACCTCCGCTCTGGCCCCTCAGAGCACTACAGATCCAACTCTCCCTGAGGACCAGGCGCGGAGGTCCAACCTCCGCTCTGGCCCCTCAGAGCACTACAGATCCAACTCTCCCTGAGGACCAGGCGCAGAGGTCCAACCTCCGCTCTGGCCCCTCAGAGGAACTGGCACATCACCTGTAAATAACCAGGCAGCACTGGTCTAAATTTGCTACCTGCCAGTCGCGGTGGGTCATTACCCAGCACACCGGGGGGACGTCACCCCCCCGTCTACCAGAGCTGTACCACTCAGGACATGCCAGACCCCGAAGCCGGCCAATGAGTGACCTTTCCCAGGGCCTTCAGAACCACCAAGTTCATACATTTTATACCCTCGTGGCCGACACCCAGGGGGGGATCGGTAAATAAGCAGAACATGTGCTACTAGAGTCCTCACGACCCTAGGCAACTTCATCAACATCCCCATCAACGTCCCAAAACGTCTAACTGTTTGGTGTGCAATATCGCGAGTTGGAATAATTCGACCATGGTTATTTGAAGAAAATGAACAAGTCTTTTCAGTGACTTCTGATCGCTATGTACACATGATTGAGGAGTTCTTACCAAAACTCAACGAGATGAATGTGGGAGATGTATGGTTCCAGCAGAACAGTGCCACGGCACATACAGCTTGTATGTCAATGACTGTTTTGCGGCAACACTTCCCAGGATGTCTCATCTCTTTGAGAGGCGGCCCACTAGCGGCCGAGCGATAAAGTCGCTGAACACTGGTAGTTCGGTCCGAGGTTCGAATCCCGTGAACGGGCTGGCTGCATGGTTTTTTTCCTGGTTTTCCCCATGTGTGACGTGTATACGAGCCAGTTACCCTTAGAAAGTCCTCCACGAAGGCATTCCTCCCATTAGGCAGATAGCCCTCGAGGCATTGCCATAATAACACACAACACACACTTTGAGAGGCGATTTGCACTGGCCGGCACGTTCGCCTAATTTAGCCGCCTGTGATTATTTTCTATCGGGCTATCTATAAAAGCACTTATTTACAAGGATCGTCCTAACACACTGCAATGCAACATTTGTCAAGCTATAGCCAACATACCCGTCGATGTGCTGGAAAGAGTTGAACGAAATTTCAGAGTTCGATTAACGCAGTGTGTTGACAACGATGGACGCCATCAGCCTGATATTATCTTTAAAATAGTGTGCACATAAACTTTACATGTTGTACTTGATGCTGTTCAAAGAATTAAACATATATATATATATATACACATAATTTTTCCTTTTTTGAATTTCAAAATAAGCAAACTGCTTTGTCCCACCCTGCATAATCGTAAGGGCTGAAGCTCGTGACGTCACAGACTATGAACGTAGGCGCGGTCATATACGTGATAATTCAAACTGACTTAATTTTTTCACGGCGAGAGATCTAAAATGATAATTATAAAAACGATATATACAAATTAACATTTTAATATAAAATAATATATAAATTTTGTTTTCACTTTTGATTTTGAGTTTGATTATAAAAGAATGTTTTAATCTAAAATAATATATTCATTTATACATTGTTCTATTAGTGTCTTCTTTTGTATATATTAATTTGTACACGTATTGGGAGTAGGGATTGTAATACCAGGGTACCGAATACCGGTATTTTCAGCCATTTTTACAATTTTGTAATACCGGTATTCAAGAGTTTAAATACCGATTTTTTCGGTATTTACTAGAAATTTTTTAAATTGTCTCCACTATATGTTCAGGGGTTGCCAACATAGCAAAATAATATACGTTTTTGTTTTTATGTTTCCCTAACGGGAGAAATTAATTAGACTTTCAATACAAAGTTGCATCGTACAGTCTATATAGAAGTGATAAAATATGCGAATCATCCAAGGAGGCGGGCCAAAATTGTCCTATTACAACTCAGAGCGTACTGCGCACGCGCAGGTTTCGTTGTCTGATATTCTTATCTGTAAAAACAAGGTTGAAGAAAGTGCGTAACATTTCGAAAAAATTCGATGCTTTTTAAATTGGCGAGTTTGTTATTCATACTGTATTTGTATATCATATTTTAGGGTTCAAAATATTTTTCAGATTTATTATATACTCACAGTTAAACTCATAATAATGAATAAGAATAACCTTAAAGAACCTAAAAAAATCTGTTGATAATACTTCGGTTTGGTTTCATTATTTATATGATGAAAAGAATATGGTGGCACAATGTAAAAAGTGTTCAAGATTCAAAAGTGAATGGAGGAAGTACAAATAGACTCCATACACATTTAAAAACGAAACATGATACAAATTTGTTAAATAGGAAAGAATCTAATTGCGATGAAGATACAAATTTAAGCACAGTTTCTAAGCCGAAATCAGGAATTTTAGATTATTTTGAAGGAAAAAAAATAGATAATTTGGATGAAATTATAAGAAAAATGACAGCATTAGATGGTTTGCCATTTCGAGTGTTTTGTACTTCTACTGGATTAAGAAAATCACTGTCCGCCAGAGATTTTAAAAATCTACCAACATCGATTAACACTATTATAAACTACAGTAATATGTAACTACAGTAATATTACTGTTATAAACTACAGTAATATGGTGTTCGCAGTTCTTTGAAACACGAGTTAATATAATTAAAACTGTGAAAAATTTTTAACTAGACTAAATTTGGAATTTGTTTTATTATCGATTTCTTATTTTGTAAAACTTTAACGAATTTTTGATTAACAAACTCAAGGATTTGGCAACATTGTGCAGAAGAAAAATTTTTTTATCTCCAGCGCGCGAGACTGTGTATCGGAAATTCTAAAGATTATGCTCATTTTAAAATTATTTTACGATATTGCTCTTAAACTAGATTTTACGGTTTAAGTGCAAAGAACATGATATTTAATAAGTAAAGGTAACACACAGAATGTTACAAAAAACACCCCTTTAGACATAATTTAAGATCTAAAACCTTTTAAATTTTTTTTATTAATCACTGAGTTTCTTGCTTGAATTGGAAAGACGTGTTTTACGCTTTGCCGAGTCCACGTTTCTTTAGAATCGTTGCGTTTGCTAATCGAAATTTCGTTTTAGATTTGCACAAAATATATAATAAATAAAAACTCAAATTCCAAATTCGAAACTTCAAGCCTCGATGTGCATACGTTCAGATGAAAGGCTATGTGTGTTGAAAATTTAGGTGACTCCACATGTCATAATTTTTCCTCAATGCAAGGAGCATACACATACAAGCAAGATGCGTCATAATTTAATTAATAGATATAAACAATTTACAAGTGACGCGTAAGTTATCAATGAATGCATGTTGCTGCCAAATAACAAGAAGTACTAAACAGCTTATTAAATTTAGCAAAACAAGAAATATATTGCTTAAATAACTTTTACCCCGTCACTGACAAGCGATATAGCTTACATTTTCTAAGTAGAGCATACATTTTTGGGCGATAAAATAAAAATTAATGGAATTTAGGCGTAAGGTTTGCAATAAAATCAATACGAATTATTTTTAGATTCTACTTTGGGGGGGGGAAGAAGCCTGGATTTAAAATATATACACACAACATATAATAATCCGAAAACATGAAAACATAGAGAAGGATTAAATGAAACTTTTGTTTAAGTAATTTTAAACAACAACAACAAAAAAGGAAATTATTGGGATTATTTTATGAAATGTTTTATATAATTTGCATTTATGATTTCTACTAAATTGAAAAAAAAATTAGCTTAGAACTTATAAGAAAATTCTCCCGGACTTCCAGTTTTGTAAATCTGGTCCTGACAGTACACGAAACGACAGAACACCTAACAATAAGATTGTCATTGATCCAATATGTACATTTTCCCTCGAATCCATTCGTAGCAGTTCGAGACAAGGTCATAAGGCAGTAAATCATAATTCTGGAACTAGAGGCAAATCATTGAACTTACCCTTTACAACCTCAAGACCCCAAATTCCGATACCCAGAGCGTAGACCAGCAATACCTGCATTCTGTTTTCTCTATTCACTAACCTAATCACGGAACTAACTGTTGATTTTTCACGGATTTCCAAATCACTTCCAGGCAATCAAAGCCATCTTTGTCGGGGAAACACACTGCGTCAGCAGACGTGACCTTTCCAAAGTGAAACTTAGAAAAGGATGCTTCAGAAATCAGCTAACCTTTTGAACCTGACGCAACAGGGGCCATCCGCTCATTGCGATAACGGACGTTATGATCGGATGTTCGTATATTGTACGTTTTATACGCAGCAGTATAAAAATGAGATATGTTTAACTGTCACTCAAGCTAGTCTTCGAATAAAAAACTGTGTTATTGCTTCGAATCTATGTTACCGTTTTGACTGTCGACCCTTTAGAATTTTTCAACATTTTATCAACCGCTTCTGTTTCACTATTACATAATTATGACAGATCCCCCCTCGTCCCAAAAAAGGCTAATGTAACTTTTACATTGATTATTTGACTGTGTTTAGTATTTCTTATATTTCAGATATTCAGTACAGGACTCAAACTGGCGGCCGCCCCCGAAGCAATTTTGTGTGGCCCTGGAATGCATTTCCATAAATTAATTAGCATTATCATGGAATTAATTATTACGGCAATGATGACGAAATTATGATTATTCAGCTATGACAATATTTGAAAAACAGACTTATGTAACGCCAGAGAAAATCTAATAACGGAGCTAATTAATTTATACTATGGCGTAAATCGGTACTATTCGGTTTTGAGGGCCGTAAAAAAATTGCAGCGAAAATGTATGCGCAAAAGCGCCAAATCTAGCAAACGCGCCCATTTAACAGCGTGCCAAATCTAGCGTACGCGTTGATTTCAGATTGCTTAAGTTTATATAGTTTTATATTTCTTAAGCCGCCATTGACATACTAGTTTAATTTTTAAATCCTTTTTTGATTTCCTAGCGATAAAACCAATTTGGGAATTGCCCATACGAAAAGATGTAAACGGAAAATTTCCAATTCATTGTCCAAGCGAAATTTTAAATCAAACCCACTGCTTGACGTAACGTTTTTAAGAATTGCAAACTCGGTATCCATTGGCATCGCCCTTTTTCACTTTAAACTTGAAATCCATTGCAAAAATGCACAAAATGCACCCTGACTTTATGCTATGCGCACACATCGACCTATTTTCACTTAAAAAGTAAAAGAAAATTGACAAAAATTCAATTGTTTTTAACCCTTGTAAAAAGCGGCAAGCAAATACGTGAGCGATTCTGCACTTTACCGAGAATATTTTCAAAGAAAAGGCATCATTCATTATAGAAAATTACGTTTGAACAACCAACGAGATGAAATTATGCTTTAGCGATAAGTCAGTAGCGAAATAGCGATGCAGGCATCCATTCATTTATGTTTAGCAATTTTTATATAAATTATAATAACGATCTGAAATAGTTATTTACTCTTATGCTTCTATCCAGTCATGTTTAGCCTTTTTCATATAAATTATAATAATAAAAAAAGTATTATATGAAATTAACCTTTCATCTAAATTAAAACATCAATCTTAAATAGTTATTTACTACTATACTTCCTTTTTTGCCGCAGTTATTAGGGTTGCCGCAATTATTTTTCTCAGCATTGGCATCAACAATAGTTTGGCGATTTTTTACGGCCCTCGAAACCGAATAGTACCCGTAAATCTTATCAAAAGATTTGAAGATGAACATTTCAAGAACTTTTTTTCGTCCGTATCAAAAGATAAATAACCTCAGTTACGAATTTTTGCAATAACATAATAGCTTTCTTTGGAAATTCATTTGTACCTGTATAGTTTTTTTTTTCTCGCAGCTCAAATTTAATAAGAAAAGAATTTGACTGAGATAGGAGCATCGATAATTCCTGATAAAGAGAAGTTTCCAGTAATTTTTCTCCAAGGTTAAAATCTGAATGCCACGAGGGGGTGTAGCTGAAAGTTGTAACAATTATTTAATCTCTAATACAGGGTGATCAGCGAATAAGCCCTGATTTCAAAAATTAAATATCTCTACAACAAAGATTGATAGAATTATGCGGTAAACTGTACGTTTATTAGCAAAACTGTAAAAATGGTGTACAAAAGTTTAGAAAATTTAGTTACGAAAATCGTTAACAGATGGCGCTCTAATTGCAATGACCTATCATTAGCCTAAAAATGTGCTTTGAATTGGAAAGTGATCAGTACGACTGTTGGCTAGTGAAAAAAGGCTAGCGTAGAAAGTGTATTCCATTGAAAAACGTGTTTTTTTTTTTTTTGGGTTCTGGAATTTCACCAATTAAAACACAGTCCTACGGCAACACGTCGCAGTTTTAAAAACCGATTCGATGTTCCATTTGGACCCGATGCGAAAACCATTCGCATACTCTTCACAAAATTTGAACGGACTGGCAGCGTTGCTGATGATCGAAAGGGGAATGTTGGGCCTAGGCAAACTGTAGTCGCTCCTGAAAATGCAGCCAAAGTTTCTGGAATTGTTCAGCAAAATCCTAGGAAAAGCAACCGACGGATGGCATCAGAGACAGGTTTGAAGTACACGAGCACGTAAAAAATATTAAAAAATAGCCTACGGCTCTTTCCATACAAAATCCAAAGGCATCAGGCCATACCCATGAAAGCTGTGCAACAAAGGTTGACTTTGCGAATCAGATTCTAACGATGGTCGACAACGACAGATTTGATGTGGGCTGCTTTCGGCCTTTAAAAAAATTATGTTTTAGTTCTGGTTTCACCAACAGATGGCGCCACTTGCTTATTCTTGTCCAGGCTTTCTTATCTTATCTAATCATTATTTCCTATTTTGTTAATTTGTGGTTTTGCAGCTGAGGATGGTGGTTCAGTAAAACCATCGAAACTAGTCCTGTGAAAATTTTGTAAATATAACGCTGATTTTTGTTGTTTGACTTCTGAATTAACGTGAAATATGTTTAATATATGAAATATGTATATAATTATATAAAACGTGATTAATTTTTGAAAATTTTAATGCATTCTTTAAGCAGGTCGTTGAGCATTCTAGTCTATCTTCTGTATATATAATGTAGATTACCTTGCTTTTCTTCTACTAGTTTGCATCATGTAACTGTAGTAGTATGTGAAATTTATGGATATTCAGCTTCAAATATGGCACTTAAAATAGTCATGCACAGTAAAAAAATGTTAAGTAATATGGGCTTAAAATTTAATTGATTCGATATAATAGTTTGCATATGAAAAATATAAACTTCTATTTTCGGAAAAAAAAAATTCCAGAAATGTATGAAATCATGTGATACATCTGGTTGGTCTTCAAGTTGACTGAAGCGATATAACATAAGAATATCTAACATTTTCTATGTGAACTGAGATTTTGAAGATATTTTTATATTTTTCATACTGTTTCATCGCACGAAATCTTCAATCTTATGAGATATCATTATTATTCATAAATTTTCATGAAATATGAAAAATAGTTTTTTTGAAAGTTTTAGTGTCATTCAGTAAATACCTGCAATTAAACACGTATGGCACTCCCTAATTAATGTGAAAGGATATATTTGCTTTGAAAAAGATTGGGATATGTTTTAAGAATTTGCGAAATAGTGAAATGTTTGCTATGAAACGATGAAATTCTTGCATGAACTTCAAGTATATTTTCACTCTCATTATTAAAAATCTCTCCCTAAATTCTGAAATAGTAATGTTTTTACTCTTATTATTCTCAATATTTGGTATTTTATAAATTTAATAACTGTATACATGTACTAAATTTTATCGATAATTCAAATATTTTATTAATTGGTTAATTTCCTTTAAATGATTTAGAAGTAAAAGAGCAGCATGTTAGGCAGTTTCTTTGAAAAATATATCCGTATTTGAGAAATCTGCAGATAATTCGCCTTACTAAAATAGGTCTAAATTTCTAAAACTATATGGATGATATGATGCTATGTTATCATCAAAAGTGCCTTTTTCTCTTTACAAATAGTGTCTAGAGTTATGATAGGACTTGAGTCCTCTATCTATAGATTCTATATGTATTCTATATTTTATATTCTATATTCTTCTATCTATATTTATTAGTATCTCTACAAGAGGTATTGAAAACATTTTTCCTGTTTTTGTAAAGTTTTCTGAAAATAATCAATACATTTCTCAATAATATGAATTAAAATAATCAAATCCAGAAGTCTTTTACACAATATGAGTATAATAGCCATTGAAATATCTATTGCAGACGTATAAAATTTAACTCAAAGATGATATTGGTTGCATGTATGATTAAAAAATATTAAAATTTGGTTTCAAATGGAACCACTGAGTGATAGATATAGATCTGATCGTAACTGTTTCAAGGTCGTTTAGTAGAAGATATCCTAATTTTTATGTAAAATCATTTTCTTTTTCCGGTGAAAGTAAGTCTAAAGCTAAATCTATGGAAAAGTGAAATATTCCGGTTTTCGTCTGTTAGGAGAAATGTGCATGCCTTCATAGGAAAAAAATTGGAGTTTCATTGAATTTTTTCTTTCACACAAAAGGGTAGATTTAGAAAGTGAAGGAAAATTCCTAAAAACATTATTTTCATTACCTTACTTCTTAAGGGCTGATAAGCTATCATAAGAATACTCTTTTTAACCGTATACTGCTTATAGGAAATAATTTGTTAGTCAGGTTTTATACTAATGCATTACAAGATTTCAGATCTCATGAAAATATGGGTAAAGTTTTACTATTTCTATTGTTCTTAGTGGGTATGTTAGTCTTGGATATTTAATTGCCTTTTCTCCCAATAATGTTTGTGACTAATCTAATAATATGTAGCATAAATATGCTTACCTTTTAAAAATCTTAATTAAAAGTTAATTAAAATTAGTTGAAACAGTATTAAATGCATCTAAAGTGCTGATTGTACTACACAATGATTCGTGGTTTTTATGTGTATAGGCTAGATGAAGTGAACTTCAGGTTTTTCCCAACGATAGCAAATCTGAAGCCGATGAGAATTGGTTAAGACTCATTTTTAGGTAAGTAAGTTGCTTTTTATAACACATTTTCTAAAAATTTGCCGGGAATTCTGGGTGAAAAAAACTTAAAATTGGTAAACGTTCTATCCTCATTTTGGATAAAACAGTAAATGAAAATGCTTTTCTAAGCTAGGCATTCTGCACTGACGAAATAATGCAGGAAAAAATGGCTGATTTAGATAGTGTTTGGATTTTTTGTTTTGGAAAAAGGTAACATTTAGCAACATTAATTAAATTACAGTTCTCGAAAATGCATAGAAAGTTCCTATAATGAAAACATATGCGTACAGTTATAAGAAAATGTAACAATTATTTGGATGTAATTTTGTATTGAAAAGAGGTTATTCCTCATTAAATGGGTATTAGTAAGGAATATTTAACTGATGTAATGAGTATTTTATGAAGAAATTTCTGTATTTGGAATGAAGAAAGATAACATATTCAAAAATATAGCGGAGATTTGGGTAAAGTGTCTCTTCCTGTTTCTTTCTTCGGTTCCTTCTGTAAATGTAGGTATATTGATAATCATATATGTTGTGTAAAGGTATGGTAGTGTTTCACAAGATTTCGTTCATAAGAAAATTAATTTGTAAGTAAATTAATGAAAACTGACATTCACGAAAGAAAATCCTAGTATAATAAATAAATAAATAAATAAATAAATAAATAAAATAAAATAAAAATAAAAATAAATAAAAACAGAGTACATATGAAATTGTCTATCTAGAGAATTTAAGTTGCAACTGAACTAGGCTCGAAGAAATGTGTTAACAGTATACTCTAGAAATAAAAGTATATCAATAAAACAAAATTTCAACAAATGAAAGGACAACAAGTGGGTAAAATTGATGGTAATTCACCTCTAATTCGATACTGGAAATGTTTATCTTAGGAATTTCTTTTGTATGTGTAACGTAAATAATCGTTAATTTCACATGAAAGATGCGCATGAAGTCAGAAATATCCGTACGTAGTGCAGGAAAAAGGTAATAAAGTGAAAATTTGCAGATTCGGGACATTTAAAGTGATGTAGGATGCAGTCAATTAGCAAAAAATACTCAATTAAACGGTATTAAGCGTTCAAAATAATAAGAAAGATTTCTGTATGTGTACATGAAACAGTGAATATGAATCTAAAATTTAGATGAAAGCAGGAATTTCATTCTAAAAATGCGGAATCTATCAAGTTAGCTTAATGAGAATCGAGGTTCAAAACTGGACATTGTTAACATTGAAGAGCTTAAAAACATATATGCAGATGTAAAGGGTATTAAGAATTAAAAGGAAGTACCAAAATATGCAAGAAATGTAAAGTCTGAAAATGCGAATGAACTTAATAATGAGGTAAAATAGTACAGTCATGGTAAGAGTGCTACAGAATGATAAATTGTATAGTTGGCAAATTAAAATAGTACTATAAAATATAGACTAAGGGCTATTCAACGAATTGAATATGAATAACAGTTAAAGGTTGTAAAATAAAATGCTTCATTGAAAACTATCTCTATGTTTAAGAAATTTAAACATGTAAATTTAGCTGAAGTAGTAAAATCTAAAGCATGATTACAGTCGAAAATTATAAGAAAAAAAAAGAGTTAAAATTTAGAGTATGTTTGGAACCAGAAAGAAAAAAAAAAAGTGTCGGAAAAGTATAAAAATTACATCCAAAATTAATTAAAGTTCATGTAAACAAGTTCAAAATCAGAGTACTTTTAAAATTACGAAGGTTTGAAATGTACGAAACGTGTTAAAAATAGCATTTAAAATTCAATACAGCTCATATAAGGTCAGAAAATAGAGGAATTAAGCTAAAATTAAGAGTTTGTTTGAAATTACGAAGTTTAAAACATATGAAAGTAGCTACAAATTAAATGAAAGTCATGTACATAGTGTGGTAATATAGCAAATTAGTTAAAAATCAGAGTATATTGGAAACTAAAAAAGTTAAAAAGTAGAAAAGAAGTGTTAAATCTCACTCATGTGGTTGTTCTAATTCTAGATCTAGATTCTTGCCCACGAATAAACAAAATGAAAATGGCTCCATGTGTTGAAACCACGCTAAGTTTGGGGGAAAAAGCCGTTAAATGCAACAACTCTTGTAATTTTAAGCAGGAAAACTAGAAGGCCGAGCGTGTGTGGCGACAAACGTTATAAACCAAAATAATTGTATCCACCTTGTATACAAAAAAGCTGTAAGAACACAATTTTTGGTCGACACAGGAGCTTCGTTTTGCCTCCTACTCCACAAAATGTTTTAAACCAACATCTTTGCTCAATTAATTGTAGCCAACGATACAAAAATTGGTATATGTGGAAAACGTCTAGTAAATTTAAACATGCATCTACGCTGAACTTTTTCCTGGAATTTTACCATTGCTAATTTTTCCCCCCTCTCTACCAATGGTGGGCACTTGTCTGTTATGGCATTTGCCACTACTAAGGTCCATTTTATTGTGGAGGCACCTAATAGGCGGTCACTGCTCCTATAAAATGACAGACAATTTTACATCCATGCCTTCTCTGGGATTCGAACCCGGGCCAATCAGCATCGCAGTCAGGCTTCCCTAATCACTATACCATCTGGTCGGCACTGTTGCTAATGTCTCATAAGTAATTTTGAATGCAGACTATGGTATTGTAAATTATAAAAATTAATTGACAGCATGACTAATATGACAAGGTATCTCGAAGATACTGAATGCAAAATTGCAGTTTTACAGCCAAGTTACCAAATTGCAGTTGTATGTATTTAATGATTTACTTAAAAAATATGATTCTCTCTTTGAAGACTCTTTAAAACTCCCTCTGGACAAGCTTACTTATCTGGTTATTACCCAAAGAATCATTTCTCAGCACTCTAACATCACCACGGTGATTTCTGCACTGCAGAATTATCTTTCAAGCCTGGAGCTCTAGCTAGACTGTGGAAAATCAAAATTAATGTTACTTATTCATTTGAAGAGCTCACCCCAATTTACCTAACTTGCAATTCTTCGGTTAACCAATACCCTGTACACAAGTATCTAGGTTCCTACATACAAGTATCTTGAAGAGCTCACCCCAATTTACCTAACTTGCAATTCTTCGGCTAAACAATACCCTGTACACAAGTATCTAGGTTCCTACATACAAGTATCTTGAAGAGCTCACCCCAATTTACCTAACTTGCAATTCTTCGGCTAACTAATACCCTGTACACAAGTATCTAGGTTCCTACATACAAGAATCTTGAAGAGCTCACCCCAATTTACCTAACTTGCAATTCTTCGGCTAACCAATACCCTGTACACAAGTATCTAGGTTCCTACATACAAGTATCTTGAAGAGCTCACCCCAATTTACCTAACTTGCAATTCTTCGGCTAACCAATACCCTGTACACAAGTATCTAGGTTCCTACATACAAGTATCTAGGAGTGATACTTGATTCTAAATTAACTTGGCAACCTCACATTCAAAAAACAATTTCCAATACTAATGTTGTCAAATCCCAATTACTGCCATTTTTTGCTAGAAAAAGCGACCTGTCCACGCAAAACAAGATCTTGCTCTACAAATCAAGGATAAGGCCTATTTTGACATATGCAAGTCCCGTATGGGGCGCAGCAGCAATTACTAACAGGAAACATATCGAAATTTTCCAAAATATTATGCTACGACAAATTTACAAAGCTCCTTGGTTTGCTGCGAATGAGGATGTCCATAATGCTGCCAAAATTCTTCCCTTAGCGGCGATTTTTGCGCTACACAAAGCCAAAATAACAATTCAAAGAACTCCATTCAAAAATCATTGCTACACAAAGCCAAAGTAATAAGTTAAAGAATTGCACTCGATGTTCATGTACCACCAAAAATCTCCAATTTTCGAGATGGGACACCTGTAAATGTATTTTTACACAACAACCGTATGTTTGGTATAGAATTATTTAATAACTCCATTGATTTTCAGGACAAACAGGTGCAAGTCCTCTTTACCAGTAGTAATGAAATTTGGACTATTTGTACATACATTGTGTTGCAACCACTTTAGCATAACTCGCCAAATTTTCAGAATGCGCGGAACTCTGCCAACCAGACGCATAACAATCATCAAGCAACTTTCATACTCATAACAAACCTTCACTCAAGCAACGTAACCATTTTCGCATGTGTTCATTTTGTTGTAATCGAGTGGCTTTCATAAACACATTGTGATATATTTTATATCTTTACTTAATTTTAAAATATTCATTTGTGGAATTTGCAAGCAATCGAAGAAACTGATGTAAAATTTCTGTAGGATTTTGATACGATCCAATCAGATCGAAAAGATAAAGAGAACAATAAGGAGATGCATTTAGTAGATAGCCAATGTTACCGAAGTTTTTGTAATACTGTATTTCTGCAGTTCTCTGAATTAAGTGTCAACAGATTGCTACGTACTTGGGGAGAAGAATAGCACAAACAAATTACAGAAATATTTGGAGAAAAGTGGGATTTAATTTTAAATGTATCGCATAATACTTATTTAATAACTGAAATGGGGTATCAGTATCAGTATCAGTATCAGTAGCGGGCGCAGATCGACCCGCCTAACCAAACAAGTTGGTCTTATGGTCATGACAGGCCATGCCCATTTCAACAAATGAAACATAAAATATCTAAATGAGAATAATCATGTGTAAATAATAATTATAAGCATAAAAGTGAAGAAAAGGAACAAATACAAACATTTAGACGAGAGCAGACACTAAAGACAAAAACAAAAAAGCGAATAACAAACACAAACAATGGTAACAACAAATTATTAAAATATACCAATTAGTGATGGCAATAAAATGCAAATATCATACACTGATTCCCACTGCCCGGCGCTCACCGTCAATAAATTTCATCACAGATTTACATGATTGTGCGAAATCTTTATAGCATAAAAAGGGATTTTCAGAATCAATATTTTTATTGTAATTAAGCCATCAAAGTAGGGACAGACCTCGAGGAAATGCTTAGCATCACGAAGCA